ATAAGGAAGATGAAAAAGTTCAACTATGACAAATGTGAGGGAACAACTCTGAGATTAAATAGAACAAAAGAGCCAGATGCTGAATGCTAACGAGTTGTAGAAATACCTTTATTTTGCTAGTATTTTCCTTTTCATTTATATAAATATCAGGAATACATTATTTTATATTAGATAAAATTATAAGTGATGAGAAAGCATATTATCAAAATTCCCCCTACTATCAGTTCTCTGTCCAAGAATCACAGTAATTCTTGGTGTGGAGAGGAGATCACTCTTCCCTGCTTAATAAGCCTTTCAATGGCTTCCCACTGCACTTGGGATAATAACCGTGTCCTCACCAGGTCCTACAGAACCAATGGTCACCTCTCCAGACTCATCGTGTTCCACACCAGGCTGAAGCCACACTGGCTCTGACAATTCCTAGAACACCTTAAACTCTATTGTACCTCTATCAGTCACAATTTCTTTAATGTAGAAACACTTTGTTTCTTTTTGTTTTTTAAGAATTATTTTATTTACTTTATGTATTTATTTATTATTTTAGAGGGATAGAGAAAGACAGAGAGAGAGAGAGCAAGCAAGCCACCAGGTCCAGGACTTGAACCGTGGTGGGCCAGTGCCCTTAACTACCATACTACCATGCTACCTGCTGGTCCCAACCTTGGAGCACTTTCTTTAATTCTTGGTATGGCAAATTCTTTTACCCTTTTTTTCTCGGTTTAAATGTCACCTCCTCCTAGAAAGTTCCCCTGACCACCATCTCTAACACAGTCTTCCCCTCCACACGTATTTGATCTTATAGTCAGTCCCCTATTCATCATATATTTCAAGCATATTTTGTGATCTGTAAATATCTTCCCATTTCTTAACTACTATCCCGCTTACTATTTGTTTCTCCAGTGGAAAAGAAGCTCCATGAGAAGACCATGTCTGCCTCACTCACCACTGTATCCCCAACATTGAGCACAGTTCCTGGTGCATTAACAGCTCTGTAAATATTTTTATTTCTTTATTTCTTTTTAGTTTTGCAACAGGGCAATGTGCACTCACCAGAGAGAAACAGGGAGAGAGGGAGAAAGGGAGGGAAAGTGAGAAATTACCCCCAGGGGGATGGCAATGCCACAATCCCTTCTCCTCCAGTCTCCTTTCAGGATTTTGAGCACACATGCACACGTGCCCAGCATGACTTTCAAGTCAAGTCCAGGATTCAAACCATGCAGGCAGCCATATGGTATCCAATACCTTAACCTCCATGCCACCTGCTGGCCCAACAGCTCTGTAAATATTGATCAATGGGAGAAAATAATAGAGAGGGAGGAAGTGAAGTAGTAAAGCCACACATAAGAAGGGCTAACTGAATATTCAGACCAGTGTTTGAAACTACTGACCCTGCCTCCTCCGCAGCTATCCATTCACTCAACACTTACTGAGCAGCACAGGTAACCACACAGCGAACTAAACCACTCCTGTTCTCACAGAACTCACGTGCTAGGGGAAGCCGAAGGAAAACAGCCCAATGAACAAAAATGATGTCAGATGGTTATGTGTCATTGAAAAAAATAAACTAGGGAAGCCAAGCCCATGATGTGGTGGTTAAGGTGGCTGGATCCCACATGGCCGACAGCACGGTTCAAGTCCTGAATGCCAGGTGCATGTGCATGAGTGCCCAAAATCCTGAAAAGAGGAATAAATGGAGAACTGCAGTGTAACTATTTTTCATCAGGATGCTTTTTCACTACCGCACCACCACCCCCTCTATCTTTCTCCAGTGAGTCCACACGCCTTCTGGCAAAAAATTAAATTAATACACAAATAAAGTAGGGGAAGGGCACACTGGGAGAAGGCACAATTTTTATACGAGGTGATGGAAAAGCCTTCCTGGTAAAGCAGTAGCTAAAACTA